TGAGCCATGGCAGACTCACGCCACCAGCATCCCAGGAAGCTGGGGGAACACGGGGTTTGCTTGGATTAATGGTTCTCAACCTGTGGGTCATGACTCCTTTGGGGGTTGAATGATCCTTTCACAGGGGTTGCCCGATTCATAACAGTAGCAAAATTACAGTTATGAATTAGCAATGCCAATAATTTTATGGTTGGGGTCACCACAACATAAGGAACTGTATTAAAAGGTTGTGGCATTAGGAAGGTTGATAACCACTGGCTTAGGAGGTGGATGTGATCTGTAGGTTTATTGTGCCAACCTGGACAATAAACACCTGTGGGATTAATAAGGCTGCAGTTTAACTGAAGGGCAAAGAGACAAATGGCTTGGTGAGCCTCGCCTTTCATGTCTCTTGCTCTCTGATGATCGGAACAGTGTGCGGCTGCCTTAGCTAGTTCTCTGCCTCAACTTGCGAGCTACACTACCTGTGAGACACCCAGCCTGTGGACCATGTCACTATAGTTTGAGGTTCCTTCGAGACCTGCTTCACCACACTGCTGGTGTGTACATCACTTGAGCTGAGACTGTAGGACCCTGTCATCTGGCTGACTGTTGGTGACCCGCCCTGCTGTTTGCTGCCTGTGGCTGGGCTGCCTGTGTTGCTGTACAGAAGACTCAGCTTTCTGCTTCCTTGACTTGCACCCAGCAGCCCTCGTGAGTTGAAAGACTGCCAGTGTATTAACTATCTCATGGAAGTGAGTTGCACTGATCCCTCTGTACTTCTCTGTGGACTAATTAGCTGTTTATTTCTTTGTGTTGTATCTATCTATCTATCTATCTATCTATCTATCTATCTATCTATCTATCTATCATCTATCTATCAAAAATCGTAAGTGTCCTGGTTTTGTTTCTCTAGAGAACCCTGTCTAACACAGTGGGGCTGTGTGGGTAATTCTATCACTCTCCCCACAACCACACTAAGGCACAGAGGTTAACACATTCTGGATCCCCAAGTGCGGCCACGGGTGTGTGTGTTCCGGTACGTGCATATCTGTGTCTGCAGAGGCGGCATTTCTAGTCTAGGAATCATGTCCATTCTGAAGTGCACCCCCAGTGTCCGCCCCAGATGGACACACAGACATTGGCTGTTGAGACATTTGAGGGAAGTGCAGGTATGCACCAAGGGACAAAACCTGAGCAAGTCTTAGTGCCTCTCGAAGCCTCAGTTTCCTCATCTGCACCCTGGACACACGCCCACTCGTCGACCACACAGGAAACAAAGCAGCGTGGGAGTGTGAAAGAGCCCGGGCCTCTATGCGTTTTCAGTAACGAGTCAGCTTTGCAGTACTTCAGGCTGTGTGGGCTAGACAGTTCTTGTCCTGACCGCTTACAGCAACCCTAGAGGGCAGAGCAGAACTGCCCCTTTGGGTTTCTGAGACTTGAGATCTTTTCAGGATTAGAAAGCCTCCTCTTTCACCCGTGGAACAGCTCTTGGGATCCAACTGCTGACCCTGGGGTGAGCGGCTCACTGCATAGCCCACTGTCCCACCAAAGGTCCTTCTACACGGCCATTGCAACTCCAAGCGGATCATGCCCGTAACCCAAACCCACTGCAGTGAATCAATTCCAGCTCACAGTGATGCTATCAGTCAAAGCAGAGCTGTTCCGTGGGGTTTTCAAAGGTATAAGTCTTTTAAAGAGCAGACTGACTCAGCTCCCACAAGGGCAGCCAGTGGGTTTGAACTGCTGACCTTGTGGCTTTCAGTCCATTACTTAACAACTATGCCATCCCGGCTCCTGAAATGAGCCACAGACACAATATGAATGAACAGGTGTCATTGTGCTCCTATGTGATTTAATTTTACAAAAGCAGGCAGGGGCTGATTTGGGCAGCCCAACTTGACTATAGAGGGCCAGTCATACGAACCACACCACTAGGTTTAAATGTAGGAAGTTACTTTCAGAGCACTTTTGGGTTTTTTAATGAGTCCTAGAAGGACTGCGGGTTAAATGTGCGCTTAACTGCTAACCACAAGGTCGACAGTTCAAACCCACAGTGGCTCCACAGGAGAAAGAGGTGGCTGTCTGCTCCCGTAAAGATAAATGACCCCGGAAACTCCATAAAGGGTTCTTAGGAGTCCAGAATGACTCAATGGCAGTAAGTTGGTTGGCTGATTGGACCTTTGGAGGAGAAATAGAAAGGAAGAAGAAGAAAAGGAGTGACTATCAGGCATTTTGGGAAAAGGCCAGGGCTTTCTGCTTCCATGAAGCCTTGGAAACTCACAGGGGCAGTTCGAGCCTGTCCTATTGGGCACTTACGAGCTGGCATCGGCTTGATGGCGCCGAGTGGTGGTGGTAATCAGGCATTGATAAACAGCCATGAATTTTGGTGTTGGCGAAGAATATCGAAAGTACCATGGACTGCCCAAGGAACAAACAAACCTGTCTGGGAAGAAGTACAGCCAGAACGCTCCCTCGAGGCGAGGATGGCAAACCTTGCTCTCATACTTTGGACAGCGTGTCGGAAGAGAACGGCCGCTGGAGAAGGACATTGGGCTTGGGAAAGTGGAAGGCCCTCAACAAGACGGATTGGCCCGGTGGCTGCATCAATGGGCCCAGGCACAGGCACAATGGTGAGGGTGGTGCAGGACCAGGCGGTGTTTCCTGCTGTTGGGCACGGGGTGGCGATGGGTGGGAACCCACTCAACGGCACCTCACAACATCAACAACAACAATGGACTCATCCACAGGGCATTTCTCCGCCCTGGTTTTGTTCATCAAGTGAGCCCTGAGGCTCAGCGTGAAGTCCAGAAGCTGCTCAGTCTTAAAGAAGGTGGCACTTCCGACCTCGTAAGCAAATGATCATTAGAATGCACCTATGTCCAGCTCCTCAGACTTCCCCTCATCGCTCCCCACTCCCCCGGTGGTAGAGGCCCTCTGCCTGCAGCCCCCCAAGAGGGCGGCTCCTGCCGTAGGTGTGGTGAGCCCATACAGTGCTTTACCTGCTTCTCAGGTGACAGGCCCGACACGGCCATGTAGGTGCTGCCAATGGTCTTGATTTTTTCGATGTCTTGAAACCGGTCTTCGCCGAGCAACTGAAAGAGACCCAGCAACAGTGTTGTCAGGGCGGCGCCAGTCTGCTGGCAGGCTGCGCTCCAGAGAGAGGGTCTCAGCTCACATGGGGATGGCGCCCAGACTCGTTTAGCATTTTCTCTCCGAGCTCACCCCCCGGGCCAGTCACCGGTGTTATGGAGCACCCACTGGTGCCAGCTGCCGAGTGTGACCTGCTCTGGAGAGAGGGTCTGTTTCTGTGAAGCCTCTGAAATAAGCACAGCTCTTGCATTCCCTAAAGGAGCCCTGTAGAGTAGTGGGCTATGCATTGATCTGCTAACCAAAAGGTCAGCAGTTTGAAACACCAGCCACTCCTCAGGAGAAAGACATCACTTTCTAGTCTTTATAAAGAGTGATGGTCTCAGAAACTCTACCTGGTCCTGCAGGGTCGCTATGAGTCAGAACCCAGATAGTGTTTGAGTTTTTATCACATTCGTTTAAAGAAGACATCACCAAGTTTGTACAAAGGGTGGTGTGTGTGAGTGTCAATGCTTGTGTGTGAACACATGTGTCGAAGGTGAAGGAGGGTGTGTATGAAAGCAGATGTGAGTATGAGTGTGTGTGAGACTGTGAGTACACATGGGAGTGTGTAGAATGTGTGTGTATGTGAGAGAGAGAGAGAGTGAGACGGTGTGAGTGCGTGTGTGAGTGTATGTGAATATGGATGTAGATGCTGCTGGT